GGTGTAGGACGATTTGATTGTGTGACCGAGTTCGATACCTTCCTACAAACAAAGGTCCAATGCAGTTGAGAAGAATGGGGGGTACCTCTCGAGTGGGAAACAAAGGGTAAAGATGAGAGGGGGAGAAGTTGCAAGTGAGGTACTTACAACCTCCATCATGTCCCTGATATATGTCAAATCATTTTTACGTAAGAAATATATTTTACGGGATCGCCATAGCCCGTGCTACATGGACACTTCGTTCTGAGTAGCTAAATCTAAAACAACAACGTAAGAAATTGTCCTATTTGGCAGACGATACAAAATATATAAGTACTGTAAGCGAAGAATATTACAGAACATTACAGGGTGACCTGACATGGCTCCTCGACTTCGATGTGGACAAATGCAATGTAATGACGAAATATGACACCAGTGGGGCCTGGCGGCTGAGCGCTCGGGATTCGTAGTCCTAAGGTCCTGGGTTCGATCCCCGGAGGAGGCGGAAACAAATGAGCAGAGTTTCTTTCACCCCTAATGCACCTGTTCACCTAGAAATAAATAGGTACCTGGGAGTTAGACAGCAGCTACGGACTGTTTCCTGGATGTGTGTAACAAAAAGGAGGCCTGGTCGAGGACCGGGCCGCGGGGACGCTAAGCCCCGAAATCAGAAATCATCTCAAGATAACCAATTATGAAGATAACCAGTCACCCATCCATTCCCTGTAAAGTACCCAGATAACAAATCGAAAGCAAATACTCAGCCAGAGTGACACAGCCAGAGTGACACAGCTAGAGTGACACAGCCAGAGTGACACATCCAGAGTGACACACCCAGAGTGACACAGCCAGAGTGACACAGGCAGAGTGACACACCCAGAGTGACACAGCCAGAGTGACACAGCCAGAGTGACACAGCCAGAGTGACACAGCCAGAGTGTCACAGCCAGAGTGACACAGCCAGAGTGACACAGGTAGAGTGACACAGCCAGAGTGACACAGGCAGAGTGACACAGCCAGAGTGACACAGCCAGTGACAGAGCCAGAGTGACACAGCTAGAGTGACACAACCAGAGTGACACAGCCAGAGTGACACAGCCAGAGTGACACAGCCAGAGTGACACAGCCAGAGTGACACAGGCAGAGTGACACAGGCAGAGTAACACAGGCATAGTGACACAGCCAGAGTGACACAGCCAGAGTGACACAGCCAGAGTGACACAGGCAGAGTGACACAGCCAGAGTGACACAGCCAGAGTGACACAGCCAGAGTGACACAGCCAGAGTGACACAGGCAGAGTGACACAGCTAGAGTGACACAGCCAGAGTGACACAGCCAGAGTGACACAGCTAGAGTGACACAACCAGAGTGACA